GGAGCTGGACAGGGGACAGATTGTATTTGTCTTCAATGTGGAAGGGATTGTCACTCTTGAGTTGGCCTTCTCAGGAACACTAGATGCTGTTCCAAGACCTCTATTCACAGCACGTTACCATAGTCTCTTGAGACTGAAGGATGCCTACTGAGGTTCCAGCACTTCTGGTTTATGTTCTGTGCTCATTTCATGTCTGCATGAACATTAGACAGAGTTGTTGTTGTGACTACTTCCAGATTACCTACAGTGCACTGGTCCTTACATCTCTGTAACATCAATGTTCCCATAACCCACAGTGTGCTGTCATGTCATCATGGTGAGATTAAATTGGGAAAGTTTCCAGCTTGGTTGGTGGGCTTTCTGTGAATCACCAGGAGAACATATCACCATGAGGACAGCAATAACCAAACTCTCCAAGAGAGGGATTTTAAGCCTGTGCTGAATCTGAACACTGGCATGGTTGCCCAGAGTTAGAACACTGTTAGGGAGGAGTAAGAGGCCAGAAGTACATTGGCAATATACATCAATGTATTAGCTTCGGGACATAACCTTGGACAGAGAAAATATTTCAGTGCTATGTAAATTCCAAGCAGAATTGGAAATTAGGAGAGTAGAAAATTGAAAGTAGATGAAAAGTAGATGAAAAAGGACCTTGGGGAAAAAGAGGCTCAAGTAGTCTGGAAGATCAGTCAGCAGTCAAGAAGAGAAACAGAAATGACAAAACAGGAGGAAAGATAGGATCACCTTTGAATGGAAGCACCCAGTGAGGACATGTCACTCTGCGAAACAGAACAGAACATATCCACCAATGTCATGAAACATGATAGGGTGGAAATCCAAGCATGAACAAAAGGGAAGATGTACCATACCTTTGTTAGTTGTGGCAGCTCCTTGCCAGATTGATTGTAATATCGGAAACCTGCCCCTGATCTTAGTATATTGGGGATGTTGTGTGCATCATATGGATCAGGGAACCTCAAATAACATCTACCGTGCTAATATGGTTTTCTTTTTTCATTGTCTGTAAAACAACAGTGAAGCACTACACCATTGTCTTTATTCTAAAGGAAATTAGTAATCCAGCAACAAGTACTATACTTCTATGCATGGAAGGTGGAAAATTCTGTTAGCATAAGTATTTTGAGATTGGGTTTCATACAGCTTGTACCTGTAAGTATTGATTCATTTCATACTCCAGGGGAATGAACTATTGCCAGTTGTAAACATTTTGCCTATTAAGGATGGGGCTTTTAATAGGCAAAATTCTGCTAACTAAATGATGCTTGTCGATGAGGTTGCTCCTGACCAAAACCCTATCATTATTGGTTCACTGAAATGGACTCCAAATACTCATGTAAACCCTGTATGAGTGGGATTCTTGTGGGTAAAAGTGTTTTTAAGCTGCATTTTTGAATGTTTTATTTATTGTTTGCTGTATAAAGTTGCCTGGCAACATTTTGGGTGACTCACAGCAGAAAATGGTAAATGACACAATTAAGAAAAATGGTATCAGATCACAACAATTTGGAATATTAAAACTGTACAAAGTAATAAATATTAAAAACAAAAAGGTGGCACTGTGAACACTAACATTATTAGATTTATTTGAGTTTTTCTGGATCACAATCTACTTCCTCAGACACATCTGAGGGAACTGATGGTGTGTCTGAGGAAGAAGATTTTAACTTACAAAAGCTCACATTGAAATAAATTTGTTAGTCTTAAAGGTATCACAGTTCTTATTTTTATTTTTATTATACAGTCGTGGCCAAAAATATTGGTACCCTTGCAATTCTGTCAGAAAAGGCAACCCTTCTCTCAGAAAATTGTTGCAGTTGCAAATGTTTTGGTACTCACATGTTCATTTATTTGGTTTCATTGGAACAACACACACACAAAAAAAATACAGAGAAGAAAAGTCAAATCATTTGGTTTCATTGGAACAACACACGTAAAAAAAAAAATACAGAGAAGAAAAGTCAAATCTGATACAATGCCACACAGAAACCCCAAAATACACTGGCCAAAATGATTTACATCCTTAACTTAATATTTGGTGGCACCCCTTTTGGAAAAAAATAACTGAAATTGACACCCCCTTTGGAAAAAATAACTGAAATCAATCGCTTCCTGTAACCATGAATGCATTTCTTATACCTCTCTACTGGAATTTTGGACCAGTCTTCTTTTCCAAACTGGTCAAATAGGTGTTGTCGTCATTACTTCCATTTTTTTAACAGGCAGGTTCTTTGGAAAGATAGAATGGGTAATAGTATTGAAAAGCTCTGATAGGTCTGAAATAATCAGCAGATTCTCAGCCTCCCATCTCCCTCTTGGTGGAAGTCATCAGAATAACCAGGAAAGTTGCATTTGCAGCATCTAGCATATATCCAGCTTGAAAAGGGTGAAGAAAATAAGGTTCACCCAGCAGTAACTAGAATTTACCAGTTGCCAGCTTGCCACTTCTTGAGCACCTCAACCAACCAATTAGCATGTATCTTATTTTCCTTTATGCTCTGCCGTATGATTCTGATATTTTTTTTAAAAATGAACTGTTCTTTCTTAAAATGCAGTGATGTACCATGATTCTGTTTTTGTAAAGCTTATCCATGCCATTGCATGTGCTACTGTCCAGACAATAGCTTAAATTTAGTAGTTTACTGATGGCTGCAAAAGACTTTACCTCCTCCTCCTCCTCCTCCTTTCCCATGGCACCACCCAACTGGGACTCATAGGTTCCCTACCTTCCAGATATGGTTTTGGGGTTGCATGGGAGTTAGAGAGGAGACTTTGCTCTTCTCACTCTCTCCCACCCATTCTGCGACTATGCCAGCAGAATACTTTCACTGTTGCCATTACTGGTGTGCTTTAGAACAAAACATTAATCCAGTTGTTTATCTATGGGTGGCTCCCATGGTGTTGGGATAATATTTAAATGATTCAAGTACTTGGATAGGGTCCAGTAATATGGGACTTCAGTCAGGAAAGATTCATGTAATTACGTCATTTCAGTTGTTACTCTACCTCTGTGGCACCAGTAAAGGACAGCTCAGTCAATTCAGATGGAGAGAATCGCATGTATGTCTAAAGAACATGAAATTGGTTGTTGTGGGTTTTTCGGGCTCTTTGGCCGTGTTCTGAAGGTCGTTCCTAACGTTTCGCCAGTCTCTGTGGCCGGCATCTTCAGAGCACTGTCCTCTGAAGATGC